GCTTTCACCGTCGTCAGTCTATTCTTCGAACTACAATTCCGCCGACCCATTACCATTTCAACACACCGTTACAGACTACAAGGCCACTGCTGAACGATTATCGAACGATTACGATAGATTACCTCATAGGGGGCATATTTGCCATAGTTGCCACGCTGTCGCCTCTTACGACACACGCATGGTAGCGGTGTAATAATATCCACGTTTCAACATACCTACTTATTATTAATTTCATACTTTAAAAAAATAGTAGATTAATGAACAAGAAAACAATACATACCGTCATAACCAACCACTGTCAATGTATTATTATTATTATTAATAAAATGACGCTTTCTTCTCTCAATCGCTCTCTCCGTCAGTGTAAGTAGATCCAACAATTTGAACTGAAGCCAGGATGTGGGCGGCGGTACATCTCGATCCCCACTAATCCTTAGTGCCAACTTCATGAGTCTACAGACCACGCGGTCTAACTCCGTAGTAATGTCTTGATCAGCAGTTAGTAAAGTGCGTAACTTCCTCACTTTAAGGTCTAGAGCGCGCTGGAGGCATTTATCTAAAGATATTTCATTACTAAATTTAAAATAATTCGTCTTTGACCTACTGTAGCAACTATATGTTCCGGATCCAGAGTTTGAATCCTGGCCAGAATCCACATCTGCGCCGTATCACAAATTATTAGTATCAAGACAAATTATGTAGTGTCTGTTTGGCAAAAGAGCCGGGGTAGCCCATCTCGGCCAGTATCTACTGGCCGCTCGTTTAAAAAAATTTAAACTTCGTAGTATACGACGAGTAACCTGAGGCCGATCCCAACGGGATCACTAAAACTGTCTAGTAATTTTTAGCACTAAAAGCCCATTACACTCTAAGTAAAACCTCATCGGCGGTAAAAGTAAAAAATCGTTAGGAAACCTGTCTGTCTGAGAAATTAAGAAATTAGGTCCACTACCTCGAAATAGGGTAGAGTGGCGGACTTTATCCTGCTCTAATACCTCCTGCTAACCCCTTCCCATTTCCGAAAAATATCGTCTCAGTCAGTTAGTGTCTCTACTTTTTAATTCCGTATTTTTTAACTCTGCATGAAATATATACGCATAAGTTCCATCGGGCACATAAAATTATACTGTCACTCCTAAGGACTAAGTAAGTAAAAGTAAAAAGCAAGAAATCAAGCGAACACCGGCTCTGGACTTGTGTTCCACAAGTTTGCACGCTATCTTCATTTATTTTCTATATCTTTTTCGTATATCAAGTATATGTTGGAATGTAGTAACACTAGTTGCACGATATGTTTCGTGCACGACTTGTGTCTGAAGTCGAATCTTCGTTAAAGTTTCGGTTTGGGGCGGAATAAATCTAGTCCCACACAATCCGCAGAAGAAAACGCTAAAAGAAAAACATTTGTTGTATCTTTCCATTTTGAAGAAATGTTTAACACTTTCCTTGTTGCCTTAGCCAGTGATACAAACAATAACGTCGGCGTCTACATATCGACTGATATTAATTCCTCGATTACTTGCTTGCTGAACAGAGTATTATTTCATGTTGAACCATCTGTCCAACCAAGGCGCAAGTTCGGCCTTACCAGCAAGACTTCTTATCAGAATACGTGTCTTCTCTTGCCCATGCAGTCCCACATTGTTATCATTTGACTGCATCCAACAAAGAGCGATTTAAATCTGGGACGACAAAGTTCCTTCTTATCAACTTGTGCGTATGGATTGTAAAACCGGTCCATAACTTAGTACAGGAGATTCCGGTACTGAGATAGAACCGGAATTTCCCGATATTTTCGATACTTTCGGTCCTAACATGAAATTACATTACAGAAATGATTTATGAAGTTTAGTGCGATCATTGCAGTATTGCTTTTAATTTCATACTTAATTATATTAAATATTATACAAAAAAATTATGAACAAACATAATTTCTCCAATAAAATATGCGTAATGTCCTTCCATAATACCTAAATCCAAATTTAAAACTTCTTATTTATTTAACAACATAGCTTGCATTAATTGTCCTTATTTTTTTGGCAAATATAACAGTTTCAATCTTTAAGGGTATAAATCAAGTAAACTTGACTGGCCATAACTATCTTACACTTTTAAAAGTTATTTTTTTCTTTTTTCTAAATTCAAATTTTTAATACGATTATTATGTTTGAAACTTTATTTGATTTACCGTCACATTTCACATAATTATTAGGTACTTTTCACGGTGATTGTGAAATTAAACTATGGAGAGGCGCGTTAAAGAAAACAGAATTGCAGTATTTGCTTGGCACAAAACGGGCATAGAGTCATCAGTCATTTTTAAGACACTTCAAAAGCTAGACACCAGCCGTATGTTTTTGACTATACCATACTAAAAAAACGGGATAGCTCTAGTGGTGTTAGGACCATGATTGCTGTCAAAACCAGTACCTATACGACGAAATCCTACTCCTCGCGTTATATGAAAAATACTGCTTATTCTGTCGATATACAGGATATGCCCCAAATAAGTCTTTGCAGTTTAAGATATTGGATAGATCAATAAGCTTGCTGTCTCGATTCGTTTGTGGAAGATAGTACTTATACCACGCACTACCAAGAGAGTAAGGTTAATTCCAGTCACAATTCTATTCTCCTTCATTGTGACATCTAAAATTCATTTACAAGAACTGGATATAGCCAATTCATTTCTTTATTACCCGGAATTTTTTAAAGTAAATGCGCATCTAAACACGCCGTTAAAGCTGCAACACATCGAAGGTTATAATTATGTCTATGAATTGATTGCAACGATGTTACTTGATGCGTGGTCAGCGCAGGACAGTAGGTACTTCAGTAAAACGCTCCAGCTGTACGAATTCTACCTGAACGCGCAGAATGGTGTCCATTAGATTCTAGTCGTTCCAAACTTATGATGCGACGCAGCGCAGACGCTACATTTTATCCAGCATTGTTACGCTTGTGACGTGGTTTTGTAAGGAATCCTTCTGTTCTAATAGTAATTATATATTATCTTTAATTTGGGTCTCGTTATATAACGATTAAAACCAGTGGCGTATCACTCTTTAAAACGAAACATCGACGCATCTGCAATCCGTTTAATGGACGACGATAACACACCTTACTGTAAGGCGCATGCTTCATAATACTTTTTTTACACTTTTTTTTAATAGGATAGGGTGATAAACGAGCACACAGTCCACCTGATGGTAAGTGGGTGCTGTGGCTTATATACATCCTACATTTACGCGTTGTCACCCGTGAGGTCTAAGATGGAATGCCCCTTTTCCAGTATAAAAGGTCTCCGGTTCTCTACACTCACCATACGAAACACAGTAGTGTTAAGCCGCTATTTTACGTTGGTATTTTGTGAGAGCGTGGTCCTTCCCCGGTCGAGCCGACCCATTCGTGCTACAACTACACTACTAATATAGCTGCAGTATGGCTCTACCACGTATGCACTTAAAAACAGTCCGCGATTATACAGTCAAGTCTTTACCATGGTTTAAATAAGCATATAGTAATCCTTTTCTTAAGGATCCCAATATTACAGGGAGATCAAACTGTAATTCACACTCCTTATTTCTTCCTTAGGATTTTCATTCTTATCATTCAGATTCGAACAAAACTTTGCTAATGCATTCATTAACTTCTCATCTTGTCAGATCTTTCGACAGTTATGACGTGCCTGGTGTAGCTAACGCAGTTTGGAATTAATTAGCTACAGTCACCGATACACAAACCTTTTTCCCCTCAAAGGTTTACATAAAAAATGTCATTTAATAAAGATTTTTCGAATGCGAGTCAATCAGGTCATTGTCGTAAATGCTTTCGTCCCGTGGGCGTAGTAAGAGGCGACTGTGAGTAGTAACCGTGATGAGGAATGCCACAAAAATCTTATGGTTATCGATAGATGGCGGTGTACCATATCGTTTACGCCCGACGTAAAATAGCCCGACCGGCGACGGTTACTGGTACTAGGATCATCAATCCGTCTTCAAAACGTGGCGATTAGGGCAAACCAACCCTTCAAATGGAGAATGTAGTCTTAGAAGAAAAAGAACAAAATTATAATGTAATAAGACAAACCATAAAGATGCGATGAGATAGTACTCCCATTGGAATAAGAAGTTGAATGCACATCTGTGACATCCCACTGCAAAAAAAGAAAACGCTAATAATTTAAATGAATAATATGATTTAGATTGCCGTTTGGTGGCGGCGACAGTTTCGCGCCATTTCTTCTGGTGGTTGTGGTATACTATATTATCACTCGATTAAAATTCTCCCCATAAAGTCTTACTAGACCGAAACCTTTTTTTAATTACAGCGTGATATATTACTGTTGATTGTTATTTTTTCGTGTGTCAGTGCGTCGTGATGAAAGCAGCACTGCCGCGATATTTTCTCCACTTGGCAATACTTTAACTAGCCAATCTGCGATAGAAAATTTTGCAGATTGTGGCTACGTAATTTAATTGATAAGGGTTCAGTACCTCAATCGAGGTCGCACCTTCCGTCCTCGAAGCGATAACGCGTGACAATTTTAAAAAATATTTCCAATGTGAAAGGTCTTAAGATTTATGAGTAATACTGAAAGTAGTGGACTATATTACATCAATATAGGTCAGTAGTGGACTGATAGGGAGATGCGGTACACTTAATAATCCTGCCATTAACTAAAAGCGTATCGACGTAACGTCCGGGCCAAAGTAGTGAAGGAAACTGTGAACAAGTTACAGTGCGTGCTTAGTTGAACCGGACAGTATTTATGCCAGCACACAGCTTACAACTTTACAAGGCGCAAGTTCTGCCTCACATTTAATACTGGTCTCATCTCAGGGTCAGGACACCCCAGTGTCAGCCCCTTCCAGCATTGGAATCGTCGACGACAGAGTTCTTATTTCGGCTTGACTCACTGACGCTGCGAAGTGATGTGGAGAGCTTAGAGGAATTGTAGAACTAATTCAATTTGAAAACATTAAAACATCGTACTGTTTAAAAACATCATACTATTTAATTAATGAATAAAGTAACCTTAATGACATTAACTATTTAAAAAAATTAAAATAAACGAAATGGAGACTTAGCAACAACCCGTAAAATGAAAGCGTTACACCATATATTTAAACAACTTTACAATGATACTAAACATGTCACTAGTTCTTCAGTCTTTTAATTGTTTAATATATTTTTAAATAACAATTTCTTAACAAGATAGAGGATTCAACTTTAAACCTACATATTTATACAACAAAAAAAAACTAAATACTTAATAAAAAAAGTATAAACTACTTAAGTTGACAAATAATCTACGCGACATCACGAGCATCTACAAACTCAAATTGTTTGTTTACATCGGACAACGTATCGTTGTCTTGCCACTCGTTGTCTGGTGTTGCCACTGAAATATTTTCGACTATTAGGCGCGAGTAAACAACAATGTTATCTACTACTTCATATCCGTTCCATTCAAGTAGATCTCTGAAACAACAACATACCAATTTTAATTGAAAAATAGGCTGTAGGATAAATGTTTATTAATTTACCAATACATTTAAAAACGCGATATCGTTCGTGTGGTATCGGTCGTGATGGTATCGCTTTAGCCGACTACCTATCGTTATACCACAAGCAGTAAGACCATCAGCGTCTCGAGTCCCTTCCAAACTCCGATGGAGAAGAAAGATTGTCGAGTGGCAACCTAGAGTCGATAAGCGAAGTGTAGGGCGGCCACCCACTAGATGGAGTGACGACCTGGTAAGATATGCAAGAAGTTGATGAATGTAGGCCTATGTTCACCAGTGGACGTGTGAAGGGCTGTAATAATTATGGGATCCGAATCCAAAACTTGCAGCTCATTAGATAGATATTCTGACCACAATTTTCACGGCTATAGAGTATATAAATTATACATACAGTTCCCGGCCGTGAAGATCACATCATATCGAAACTTAGAAAATGACTATCGACTAACTTCGCCTTTGTGGAGCGACTTATATGTCTTTAAGTTTATTATGGTTTTAGTCGGGTCCAGATCAAAGTACTTATATTTTGAAGAGTAATTAAAATGTGAGCTACCACAGCTCTCAATATAATATGTAATTTATTTTAAACTACACTTTAACTTTCTACAAAACAAGATTGTTTGTAGCTTTTAATAATATACTGGACTGATATAAAATGCGACTGAGATGGGGTGTAATATTTACGACCGGGTACTGTGAATTGCTTTGTCATATAATATATATACAATCGTTTAGTGGCGGTGTAAGAAAATCTACTAGCCCAAATCGTCCGTGGGTGTCGTAAGAGGCGGCAGAGGTAAACTGATACGGGAGATAGGCTACAGCATCTTCCTGACAACAGCTGAATAATAATAATAAACTGCGGTTGCCAAGCCGCCTGCCAAGCGTGGCAATAATAACAGCATCACCCCTATGAGGCAATCTATGGGAGAGGCCTATATTCAGCAGTGTACTTTTATAAGCTGTATTGGAATTGGTAAATAATATACTACCGTGGCCAAAAATAGTAAGGCTTTTTAATTTAAATTTCGCGCGGAAATCTATTCCTCGAAACTTTTCTTTCTACGTTGGTATGACTGTCAGTGGCATCTGTGCCAAATATCACATCAAAGTAATCATTAGTGATGATTTCTAATATTGGTTCTAGTATTGGTGTATGACGTCCTGCTGTCATAGTTAGCCCGCCTACCTTCAGTTTTTTAATATTAATTTTTGATTCGATTTACGCAGAATGAGCTTAATACCCATAATTAATAAAATAAAATCCAAACCCAAGTATACAACTGCTAGACTTCAAGATACTGTAAGCTCATTCCGCGTAAATCGAACCAAAAATTAATATTAAAAAACTGAAGGTAGCCGGGCTAACTATCACAGCAGGACGTCAAACACCTCAGTCCCCCGTGACCACGGATGCTGGAAAGCACCCGAAACGTCGGGAATATAAAAAATAAGTTAATATACGCGATAAAATCCGTAAAATTAGTTTTATTTAAATAATCATTAGTGTTTAGTATACGCTTGTCTTTCTGAAGTACAAAAAGTGCATTCGGCGATTTTTACAATGAGTGAAATTATTCAACAAATAAGTTCCATTAAATTTTGTGTCCGGAATCAAATTTCTGGTACCGAAACGTTCAGAATGTTGCATAAGGCCTTCGGTGATAATTGTATGTCGCGAGCAAATGTTTTTGATTGGTACAAACTATTCACAGAGGGTCGAGAACGCGGTGACGACGAACTACGTCCAGGACGGCCATCAACATCAACTGATAATCAACACGTCAATAAAATCAAGGAATTGGTGCTCGAGAATCGACGATTAACAGTCAGAGACCATACTGATATCGTTGGAATATCGGAAGGATCAGTGAAAACCATTTTAAAATATCATTTGGGCCTAAGAAAAGTGAATGCAAGATTGGTTCCAAAATCACTCAATTTTCTTGAAAAACAGTATCAGTGAAACAATGCTTTCCGACTACCAGGATGTCATGAAACATATTATAACTGGCGACGAGTCTTGGATCTACGCTTACGACCCGGAAACAGACGATCAATTGGCCGAATATCGTGCCAAAGGTGAGCCGAAGCCGAAAGAACCACGTCAAAGCAAGTCAAAAATCAAGGTCATGTTGACAGTTTTCTTCGATCATCGAGGTGTGGTACAATTCCTTCCGACCGGCCAAGCTGTCAACAAGGAATACTCTTTGAGTGTTATGCGTCGTTTACGCGAAGCTATTCATAAAATGAGGCCAGAATTATGGGCCGACAACTCTTTGTTTTTGCACCACGATAATATGCACCGTCACATACTGCATTGAATCTTCGTGAGTTTTTCGCCAAAAATTCAACTAATATCGTTCCACAACCACCGTATTTGCCTGATTTAGCTCCGTGCGACTTTTGGCTGTTCAGCAAACTCAAGCGACCGTTCCTAGGAAACCGTTTTGAGTCAATTGAAGACATTAAACGTGAATCGCTACGCGCCCTATTGAAGGCTGTTCCAGAAATTGACTTTAACTGTTACGAGGATTGGAAAAAACGTTGGCATAAGTGTATTGCGGCCGGGGGGGGGGGGGGGGTTACTTTGAGGGGGACGAAAAAGATTTGGCAGAATAAATAAAGAATTTTTTAATTTACTATTTTTATAATTTGATTTGTTCCTGGTGGATGACCGACTGCGAAAACAGGTTATGGATACGCGAGTGTTCAGGGGTGCTGACCTGGGAACGGATCACTATCTAGTGATTACTAGATTTAGGGGTCTGTTCGCGGGTTGGCGCTACCGGACGACAGTGACAGAACCACAGTCGGTCTGTCGCATCCGAAGCTGGAAGCTTCAGGAAGCGGATACTAGGGACAAATATCATGCGAGGGTAGCCGAAAAGCTTGACACCATCGATGGCAGAAACGAATGTGTAGAAAGAACATGGCAGAACCTTAGGGATGGAATGGTAAGTGCAGCGGAAGAAGTGTGTGGAACAATAAAAAGAGGCAGTAGTAAAAGAAGAGATGCATGGTGGAATGATGAAGTGAAAGAAGCTGTAAAGAAGAAGAAGAAAGCATGGTTAGACTACTTGGCCTCTAGTAATGATAAGGATATGAGAGAGAAGATGAAAGAAAGATATAAGCTGCAGAAAGTTCACACGAAAGCATTGATTGAGGAAGTGCGTGAAAGGTGTAGAATGGAAGCGGATGAAAGGTTGTCGCACAACTTTAAGGAGAACTCCAAACTCTTCTGGAAAGAGGTTGGAAGGACCCGAAGTGGTGCGACGGCCTTAAGAATGAACAAAGTGCTTTCGAGAACTAATGACGTCCTCTCAGAAAAATCGGACGTCATGCAGCGATGGAGCGAATTTTATAGAGAAATGTATGCGTGTGATGATCTTAGTGAGGGATCCGGGGATGACGCCGTGACTGGCACGCCAGACCCGGACCTCGATGACACTGAGGTCATCAGTATGAAAGAGATTGAACGTGCGATTCGAAGTTTGAAATGTGGTAAGGCTGCGGGACTAGACAGAGTTACTGCTGAAATGGTCAAGTATGGTGGGCCTCGCGTCTGGGACAGCTTTCATCTGCTGTGCAATTTGTGCTGGCGGACGGGGGATGTCCCGGATGATTGGCGATCCGCAGTCATTGTGCCTTTATATAAAGGTAAAGGTTCACATTTTGACTGCGGGTGCTATCGGGCGATCAGCTTGACCAGTTTAGCAAGTAAAGTTTACTCGAAGGTTTTGACACGTAGGATGCAAGAGAAATCGGAAAGATTTCTATGGGAGGCACAATGCGGATTTAGACCTGGAAGAGGATGCACGGATCAAATGTTTTCTCTCCGTATGATCACGGAAAAGCTTCTGGCTGTTAACCAGAAGATTTTCTGTGCTTTTGTGGATCTTGAGAAAGCATTTGATAAGGTTGTAAGGAAGAAAATGTGGGAACTGTTGCCGGGGTATGGTGTGGATGGCCGATTGCTAAGGGCTGTGCAGTCTCTTTACTGTGACTGTAAAGCCTGTGTGCGGGTAGGGCATGACCTGTCACCCATGTTTAGCGTCCAAACGGGCGTAAAACAGGGTTGTGTCATGTCTTCCTGGCTGTTCATACTGTATCTCGACAGCTGTTTACAAAAGCTGAAAGATAGCTGTTTGGGTGTGAAATTGGGTGACATAAAAGTAAATTGTCTGCTGTATGCTGATGATGCAGTGCTTATTGCACCATCAGAGGCAGAACTGCAGGCATTAGTCACGTGTATGAAAGAGGAATGTGAAATTAAAGGTCTCCGTTTGAATGCTAATAAAACTAAGGTTCTGGTATTTGAAAGGGACGAAGAGAGAACGAAGTGTGAAATATGGGTAAATCAGGAATGTCTAGAACAGGTAAATGAAATTGTATACTTGGGGAGTGCTTTTAGCCGGGATGGAAGATGTGATTTAGATGTGGACAGGCGTGTCGCTGCCGGGAACAAAGTCAATGGTGCCCTGACTGCGTTAGTCAAAAGGCAAGGCGTAGCGAAGAGTGCACGCCTTGCAATACATAACGCAGTGTTGGTACCGACTTTGTTATATGGCAGCGAAACCTGGGTATGCCAGAAGAAGCATAAAAGTAAGTTGAATGCAGTGGAGATGCGATCTCTTCGTAAAATGTGCGGCGTTACTATGGCCGACCGAAAGCGAAACGAAGAGATTCGCAATATGGCAGGTTTGAAAGATGACCTTATCACAAAAATTGATAAGGGCGTGCTTCGGTGGTTTGGGCACGTTGAGCGAATGAGTGAAGACCGAATGGTGAAGAAAATATATAGCGCGAAAGTTAATATTAAAAGGTGTCGAGGTAGACCGAGACTAACTTTCGAAGACCATGTGAGCAAATTGCTCGAAGAGGGTAGGGTCAAGAGTACTCGGATACCTAGACGTGCATGTATGAAGAAGATAATGAATCTGAAAGAAGCGAAAGAGATATGTAAGGATCGTGACACTTGGCGATCTGTTCTCTCTGGCTACCCCGTCAGGGATTGTGCGTGAAGATAAATATATAAAATATAATATATATAATAATTAATTATTTTTTACTTACTATTTTTGGCCACAGTATTATATGCAAAATCAGAACAGATGAAATAACAAATAAAGAACAAAACTTTCTTGTTATAGACAAAACTCACTTGACTTTATCGACGTCATTTGTAATATGTTCAACAATTCTCATGAGGTAGTCTATGGGTATTTCTAACTTTTCGCCGCTAATCGAATTTTCTTCAGTGGATTGCAAGTCTATTAGTCGGTTTATTTCATCAGATATAAGCTCCAATATTCGGCACTCCTCGGACTTAGTCTGAAAATATAAAATATTTAGAAAAAAATACAGCACCATCATAAAACCACGGGTATTATCATTCAATAATGAAAAGATTAAGCAACTGTGAAACTATATAAATTTTAAAAGACTATTGGTCAAGGAATATAAAATTTTATATCAGCACCGTGTTTAGAGACGATTTCGGCTTCATATAAAATTAAACAATGTTTGCCATATGTTTAGCTAGAAAGGAAAAAAACACATTCGTAAATTCACCGAAATTAGTTACAACGGTTAAAAGGTATTTGTACGCAGAGCTGTAGCTAAGCGTTTATCCTTATACTATTTTTAAAATAAACGTGTAAAGGAGATTATGAAATTGGGTTGTTGACATCGTTCGTAACAGTTATACAAAAATATGTGGGTAATATAAATACAGAAATAAAAATATGTGGTTTTTATTTCTGTAGTGTATGGAACAATCATAAAAACATTTTTTTAAAACTGAAAAACGAAAGCTAATGCTTTTACTATAGCAAAAACAAAACGTTTTTAAATATTTTTATGTATTCTGTCTATGACATTAGATAATGAAGGCTATTTTTGTAATAAATAACATACAGTATCAAAAAAAAACTCATAATATTGAAACATTGAGGCGAATTTGTAGAGATTAATACTGAATAAAAGAAATCGATTTAGAAAATCAATTGAATAGGCTACGTTATTTAACTAAACAAAATATTTTAATAATATCGGACACGATTGAATAGGCTCTACGGGCGTTGATCATTGCCTGTTTCGAAGGAGACTTGTTAACTTTGAGTTTAAACTTGTCATGCGATTTGCCATTGTGGTTGTATTTGTGGATATATTTCGTGTTTTTATTTTCGTGAATTAACTTGACCCTTGGCTGTTCTCTCGATTTACAGGTCAGTCAGTCAAAACCCAAGTAACACATTATTGTCATTATGTGGGCGCAACACATAATGACAATAATGTGTTACTTGGGTTTTGACCCAGGCGAGGCGAGTCGCGAGGCGAGTCGCGAGGCGAGCCACGAGATGCGAGTGTAAACGCTAGCTCGTGGCTCACCTCGCAGCTCGTCTCGCCACTCGCGGCGCTCGCGTCGGAGGCGGCTTTTTGGGCACGAGGCGAAGGGCCTCGCGAGGAACGCGAGCGTGGTGTTTACACTCGCGCTCTCGTTTCAGTTTGTTTACGGCGCCCTTCCATAATAACATTCGAATTACTTTTGTTTTAAAATTACAATTTTAATAAAATAATGTTATTTAATCTTGCACAACAGGTACTAGCAATTTATATAAAATTATGAAACTGAAAAGGTTCTGTTTCGATAAATAGATATCATCCACCATATTATATATACAGACGTATTTTTTTAATTTCCTTCTTTTTAAAATTGTCAAGCATCAATTAATACTTATTAAGGCAAGTTGATGCCGCTATTATTTCGACGTCTTCCATCGTCGCTGGCTCAACGCAAACTGAACGCATGCGAGAGTGTAAACAGGCACTCATTACCTCGCAACAACACGCGAGCTGCGAGGCGAGGTACGAGGCGAGGCGCAAGGCGAGTCTAAACGCGGTATGGGAGGAACAGAACAAACAATGTACAGACTCAGGCTACTTTTCTAGATGACATTTTACTAAAAATTGCATAAAATAATTAATTACTTAAAATTATTTTTTCTTAATATTAATTTAATAATAACTAAAAAACGGCATCCTTTTGTGTTCTTTTCAATTTATTGAAACAACTTATCCCAAGAACAAGTGATTTTACTACATAACCTACAAATAATAAAACGAAATAAAAACAAAACCCCAGGCCCTACAAAAATATGATTTTTTTCATAAGTAACAAATGTTTAAATCTTCAAAATAAGATATATTTGAACTTTGTTTACGCCGGGCCCAAGCTTGTATGGAACGAAGTTCATCTCCTTTGTGACACCTGTGTAATTTCTTATAGAAAAAGAATCTAACGGGCAAACTTACTTCAAAGGGATAATTATAATCTCTCACGACCTTGTAGTACTGATTCCAGTATGGTGCGTTTTCACCCCAGTTTATGTTGTTCCACGTATACTGCTTTTGATCCAGAGTGTTTTTATCAAAGTTAAGCATTTTAGTTAATTGTCGAATTTCATCCACAACTTCTCTCGTGTGAACTAAAGAATCTGTTTTATTTTTTTCCATTAAGTTTTTCGTTGTTTTAGAGAAACTTTTCACTTGGAACGTTGAACAGTTTAACCTAAAATTTTTGACACATTTTAATTTATTAACAAAGGTACAAAATGACTAGTGGTGTGGAATGTATAGTCCTATTGTATTAGCTACTAAATAATCTATGAGCACATTAACAATTTCACTGTCCGATTCACACACAATATTAAGACAATAGCAATGACCTATATGTAGTGCACGGGACAGCGAAAGGATTAAATATATGATTAATAATATTATTGTTAGCAATACGACTCTCCTGCAATATAATCTATTGTTTTACAACTACTCAAGTATTACAAATAATTCACACTAATTCTAAATTACAAGCTATAAATACTTAAAAAATCTTGTTTATAGTTTTAGTAAAATCTCTTTTAGTCTACTAAGTATTTACGTAAAAGTTATAATGTCCTTAAATACATCATCATTACAGCCTAACAAAGTCGACGAAACATAAGCCTCCCTCATAGATTGCTTCACAGGGGGATATTTGCCACAATTGGCAGGCGAACTGAAAGCCAATGAGTTTTTTTATTACTTTTAGTTGTTATCAGGAATACGCTGTTCCTATTCTTGTGTTATATCTTGTTTTAATTTCCCTAAACCGCCTTATTTACGTTACCCACGGGAAGATGTGGGATAGTGGATTATTTCACGCAGCCAACTTTTCAATTACTCTAGTATAACAACACCTTTTTCTTTGTAGTTAAAGGATACCATCCGAATCCCAAAATACTATGTCGTACACAACGTTTAGCTGAAAAATGAATTGTATAGTTTTTCGTATTAATAAGACGGCGACTTGCTAAATTATATTAAATTTAAAAAAGTGTGTTTTGTTCAATGACCTATTGGATACTAAATAAAATAAAAGTAAGAAATTTCGGTATACTTGACTATCTTCGCTTTTGCCGAATTAATAAACTACTAATGCTGAAAACACCAGAAACCAAGGCAAACATTTCCTAGTATCACCGACCGAATGGAATGATAGTTAAGTCACGTGACTTAACGTTGAGATATGTCGTTCCCAATTATTTAGGAGTTAGCCAAGATTAACTCAAAAGAAATCTCTACTGTGTAGTGGCGGTGTATGAATATCCACTACCCCATATCATCCCGTGGGTATAAAAGGCGACAGAGGGAAACAAACCAGGGGATGGCCAGCAGCGACTTCCTAATAACGACTAAAAATAAAAAACTGCGGTTACCAACTCGCTTGCCAAGCGAGGCAACTATGGCAAATATCCCTCTATCAGGAAATCTATGAGAGAGGCCTATGTTCAGCAGTGGACTGTAATGGTAATGGTAAGAAATATAAGCGATACAAACGAAAACATAACTAATTATACGAAATACGGTACAATAAGTCAAACAGTGGTATTAAAATTAGTGTTTCACTTTCTCCTATGTCATATTATTTATAAACGGAGGGTCAGTAAGGGCGACTGTGGAAAGTGCCAGAAAGATCTTATGGTACCCAATAGATGGCGATAAAATCATCTCGTTTACGACAGGGATAGAATGCCTGTCCCGGCTATGGGCAGCGGCAACAAATTTGCAAGAACTAGATTTCTTCACTGCCAAAAAGTGGTCTATCCACTGCCAAGCGCGACGGCTAAGGCAACCCTTACAACGGAAGAGGCCAGCAGTCATTGAGTTATATGTACTACGTACTAGAGACGCCATTCTAAACAAAAAATGTGCACTACTCTATGTCTTCGCGCATGCGGGGGAGATAGTAGAGTCGCGCATGCGCAGTTGATTTAAGCGCGCTGGGCCTGCGCGGTCAGTTTTCAATTTAAACTTTAATTTAAAATCTTGTATTATTAGCGCCGCTCCACGCTGCATGAATATTGAAACCACAGACTAACTAGTAGATTGAAACCACACTAAATGATACACTGTACGGATTGCAGTACAGTTTAGTTGACCATAGTCTATGTTCAGACTGCGAAATCTAGTACGTAGTGTACATATATATCGATGCCAGCAGTGAAATTTTACAGGCTGAAAGATGATTTGAATATCTGTCCAGAGGTAAGTTCAGTCACAGTGAAGATAACACCACATTACAAACCCTTTAATCGCTTGGTAAGCACCTTTACAGCACACACTGCATTATCGAATAACATGATTGTTGCTAATGGTAAAAATAAAATGTCATAAAATGTTTTTATTTTATTGTATCAAATTAATCAAAACGAATATGTTGGCGCGTATATAAAATACCGATTGTATCGTGTGAGCGAGAGGTTGCATCACTCTAGCGGTTCGTCATATCGATGGTGGCGAATTGGAATTGAGGGTATATCGAGAAACCCCCCACAGCGGGGGGGTTTCTGGGACGCGTGGGGTGGTGACGCTCACCCGGGAGGGGGAGGAAGAGTGGATAAAATTTTACTTTGCTCTATATATGCCGATAGATAAAAGTACCCCATTAATCTTGCCATTTTTTTTTCTAAAATAACTGAACTACATGAGCGAGGTGTCGTGTCATGTCGCGCGGCTCAGACGCGTTATATACGCGGGTGAAACCGCAGGGCACAGCTAGTACTAAAGTGTTAACTAAAACACTTAAATACAATGCTTAATTTACACTATTACATAAATATTTATTTTCATTTAAAAAGTAACCTGCTAGAAACATCTTCAATATTATATACTCTGTTAATGACCCGTCTTCGCGGTACCAGGATGTTTGCACAGAAGTCCTCATCAAACATGAGATAGCTTCTACTAATCTCTCTATCTATGTTACACTGTGCAGTTTTATCCCTGTACTCCAGCATATCCAAAGGAGATGGTAAAGTGGTGATCATAATAGTCATGCAGGATTGTTTCTCAGGGAATAGAAACTCGGGTATGGAATCTGCACTGGGAAAGTGTATAAAGAGTTTGTAGTAGTAAAGGCACCTTAAAAGCGTTGCTATTATATCAGTACATTATATGTAAATGAAAATTAATGCAAATTATTATGATAAATACAAACAAAATATCTTAACTTTCTTTATACCATGAAAACTTATGCAATTTTCACTCTAGAAAGTATTACATATTACTACTTATTTTGAAGACAGAAAACTTTGCCTTTATCTGATGTATTATTTTCAAAGTTCAATGAAAACTAAAATTCAATCAAACAGATGGATAATCACACACTATAATAACTAACTAGCTAAACACTGCTGTTTCTTTATAAAATCGAAGGGCAAACAAATTTAAAAAGTCATCCATCTAATGGTAAGTGGCTATAGACGCGTTGACATCTCTGAGGGATAAAATGTAATGTCCTAAAAACCTGTAATTATATTGGTTCTTTGTACTCTTCACACTAAACACATATTTGCAGACATTGCTGCTTGGCGGCAGAAATAATAAAAAGGTGATATCCACCCAGAAGGACCGAAGCATACATCATACGTGGTAGAGCCATGCTGCAGCTATATTAGTAGCATAGTTGTAGCACGAATAGGTCGGCTCGACTGGGGAAGGACCACGCTCTCACAGTAAACCAGCGTAAATAGCAGCTCAACGCTGCTGTGTTTCGTATGGTGAGTGTAGAGAACCGGAGATCCTTTTTACTGGAAAAGAGGCATTCCATCTTAGTCCTCATGGGTGACAACGCATCTGCATCTTGAGTCTTTATTGAGGATAGATGTAGATGTCTATGGGTCACAGTAACCACTTACCATCAGGTGGACAGTGTGCTCGTTTGTCACCCTATCCTATAAAAAAAATCTGCTTCTTCAGGAGTCCTGACACATTAAAAAATTATTCGTTGAACATTTAGTTTCCTTAAGGAAGTTAATTAAAACGCCAGTATTCACCTAAAGAGCTTGTTGTCTAATTAACTAACTGACTACCATAATTGATTGTACACATACAGTTTTATAAGTATACTGTGATTATTTGAAGATTCATTCAGAGCTAAATGGATCATGTGTGAATGGATATTTGTGGTTAATGACAGTTTTTAAAAACAAAATAGTTACTTGGTTGGAGCACACAGCATATTTTTCTCTACCAAAGGATCTGTATATTCCCAGCTTCCTTCCATATCACTCAAGTTGCTTGTAATTGGAACATCTGAAATATTAGTTAAGGGTATTAATAATCTACATGCTTATTAATAGAACAGTCTAGTCGTAAGTCTAGACTCTAATAGTAAATTTAGTAATAGTTTAGTCTATCAGTACCCAGTTCTTTGAAAACTGACAGTAGCATGTAGGGGGATATATATATATATATATATATATATATATATATATATATATATATATATATATATATATATTTCTGTTTTAGGTAAATATTTTTATTAATATATTTTTAATGATCTATGTCACACTGTGCTCAAAGAGCGAGCCAGACAGCCACGATAAACAACTGCAGCTCGAACTGTTTATCCCTAAGCAAAATTTACGAAATCGTCATTCCCTGTTTCCCTCCTCCAATACTGGACATTTTTAATTTTTTTTAAATTTTTATATTAATTTAAGTTTGTTTGCTGGATGTCTTACAACGGTAACTGAGCAATTTTAGTTTTACTAGTTATTAAAAAAAATCTAACAAAACTAAGCACAGGAACATGGCAGTGATAGTTATAAGATTGTAGTGTAAACAAATATTTACAATAGTTGAGAGTCCACGGAGAAAACAGAGGAATATGTTTGTATGGGACTGGATGCTGCCCAGATATCCTCTTAAGAATGTAAATTATCAATAGGAAAAATTATTGACAATGAAATAGTTAAATTCAGAGCTATTAAAAGTTTTTCTAAATTATATTTTATTCAAAATAAGCATTCAATATAATATATAAAACTTACCTTTCACCAATGCCATGCTGTCAATAGTTAAATCTTGTTGCTTGCAATAATTCTTAGATACGAAAAGGGCAAGTTGACTGCAACAGCCATGATGTAGGGTCCCAGGTGGTCCCGGTCCAATGCCTTTACAAGACACTGTATAGTTTGGATACCGAGTCACAATGTTACTGCACCTTTAATATAAATTATAATTAATATTTATTATTATTTTTAAATAAACATGAAATATGATATAATATTCTTAAATAAAAGTATAAGATGAATTTCTCAGCCGAAATATAGTGACTGATTTTTTGTGCAAAATGCATTAATATAATATTATACAAACTATTGGAATGGGTAATAACCTATGAAATTAAAATAGAATTTTATTAAATACCAGTCATTGAATTGCTCCCTAGTCCATTCAAATAAGTGATCCCATCTTCTGAGCCCATTTTTTTCCATGGATTTAAATAGTACATTGAAGTCGGCATTTGGAGTTGTGATGACAGCTATCCAAGGTTGGATAAAACCAAAAATATTATGGACTAGCCTATCTAGGTCATGAGGCATCATGTGTTCAATCATCTCTATTGCAACAACCGCATCACAACCTATTAGTCTGTAGTCTGGATCAGCTGCATTGCCTTGAAATAACTGAAAATAGAAGAATGCAGGTACTATATTTAAAAATGGTACCATTCACCACTTCTTATGAGATGTCCTCCAGACCGAATTTCCTTTACGTGCATTCTTAGGCACGGGGGCGAGAGAACGCCAACTTTCAGACTCCGGGCAACTACTGAGAATTTCTTCTCATAAATAAAAATCTAAACAAATGATTTTAATTATTGGCCCGACCAGTGTTTCGAACCTGGGAACTTATGATCAGCAGTCGCGTTTACAACCACTAGACCGAGACAGTCAATGTGAAATACAGTCAATGTATGAACAGTACTAATGTATTAAACATGCAGCATACATAATATTAAATGATTTCTATTTCCATCATTTATTATTGGAAGTAAAGACTAGAAATGAGTTGGAGTGTGACTCGAACTTTAGGCCTAATCAGTTTGAATAGCCTATCGTGTAGAGAATGTCATGGGGACCATGGTTGAATATGGGCAAAAAGTTCTTATTAGACTCCTAGGGGATCAAAATGGCCAAAATCCATAAAATTAAAAATTCTTATTTCGGCTATAACTCCGCCTCCTTCGGAGGTTCTTACACAGTCTTTATTTCCCGCATCCCACTTGTTATTTCATACAACTATAGTATCTTACACCTTATGAAAGTGAGAAGTAATCTAAAAAAAATTCATACTGTAATCTGTAATGGGGTTTCTCGTTTGGGCGCAAATTCACCATTAGCAAGCAAATCAGATGAACATCGCAATGGCACAGTTTCAATATCTACACCCAGTATATGTTCTACTCCAGGCACTTCCTTCAAATATTTTATAAAACTCATATCGTGATAGCCTAAGTCGACAACCTGAAAACAAAACAATATCAATTAATTGAGACGTGGTTATGCATAGCGAAAAATCTACCCACACAAAATAATTGTATTATAGTCTTATAGTCTATACTTTCATCAAGTAATACAATTCTAGCAAGTCACAGATAAAGGAAAGAAGAGTACATCGGTCCCCTTCGATTTGCTAACAATATAGTCTTTATGGCAGAATCGCTGGAGGAACTCAGTACTATACCCAATGGAAATCAATAGTGTCTCCCAATAGGATGGCGAGGTCTTAAAATAAACATGGACAAAACAAAGGTTATGTGTAACGTCAATATCACACCCATGCCAGTAGTTGTAGGGAGTACTACACTCGAAGTTGTCGATGAGTATGTTTACCTAAGACAAATAGTCTGATTAGGTAAAGTTCAACTTTAGCCAAAAAGTCAATTGACCTATTCAACTCAGCCATGAAGCGTTCGGGAGATTATGACATGTATACCAGTGTATGTTGCCAGTGAAGAAATATGGATCTGAGATGTGGTCCTTCACTGCTGGTCGTATGAGGAAGTCCAAAGTCGTTCAATGAGCTAACAAGAGCAGTAGACCACAAAGAACGAAATTAATACACTATAAAGTGCGACATGATAGATGTAGTTTAAATTTTGATTAAGTTCATGGTTTTATAAAGAGTATTATATCTGAGATTTGGTTCTTCACTTCTAGTTGTATGAGGAAGCTCAAGGTCACTCAATAAGGTAAGAAGAGCAGTAGACCACAAAGAATGAAATTAGTGCACAATATACTATAAAGTATGACATGCTACATGTAGTTTAAATTTTGATTAAGTCCATGACTTCATAAAGAGTATATCCGCAGTAGAACCAGAGTAACTGACATTATACCACTGCTGAACATAGGCCTCCCCTAAGGAATGCCACAAAGCACGGTCCTAAACCACCTGCATCCATCAAATTCCTGCATGAATTTCCAGATAGTCACTCCATCTAGTAAAGAGCTGACCCTTACTAGTATGAGTCTACCACTCAAGTACCAATATAAGTTAAAAGTTATAAGTTTATATTTAGTCCCAATGCAAACAGCATCAAATCTTATAATTTGTTGCAAAGGTTACACAGTTTTCCTCTAGTTCTTTAATTTTACTCTAGGAATATATATTGTTTGAGTCCAACAAAACATGGTGTTATTTCATATGACAAGTTTCAAAACATTAGAAGTTAAATATTTTGGTGCTAAAAACCATGCAAATGCAAGAAATAATTGTTGTATGTATAGGTTATCTTTACTTAGAATTTTATTACACTGCAAATGATAACTGTTGTGTAAGTTTTCTTAATGACAGATATTCTCTAAACTTCTTACCATAACATGTACCTAATGTTTGTTTTATTTTATCTGTATTTAATTTTTATTAAGATACATTATTTAGTACTTTTTAGTAGGTTTCAAAAATAAGGTAAATAAAAAAATACTTTCAACTCTCTACCTCTTTGGGAAGCTGGTTTTAAATCAATTGCAAAATGAGTACTTTTCAGACAGAAAAACAGACAGACAAAGAAACTGACTTAATATTGCATTCGCATACAGTTCCAAGTTATAATTAAAGCTTCAAGCTAGAGAGCTCATTAGCAAAGTATTTTGAAATTGATTGCAAAATTTGTACCAGACAGACAGACAAGAAAGCAGGAAAATAAAAATAGATATTATAATATTAATACTATTAGAGATATGTGAGACAATGTGAACTAGCTAATTAATAATTTAATAATAGCCTTAGTTGCTGCCGTATAAGCTTTCCACAATTTGGAATGTATAATAAAAAAAATGAGTTTAAAGTAATGATATAATCATAATATTTAAGTGGAATCCGACAAGTTAGTATACCTTTTCTAACTTTCCACTCCATCGTTCATCCAATAGGCAATCATTGACTGCGGCATAACGTTGTACGTACATCGGTGGGAAGAAAACCACCCCTTTTTCATCATCATATTCGGCAAATACTTGTTCTTCCGAGTCTTCATCATCCAAATCATCGTCTTTATTTGGTAAAAAACTGAAACGTATATAGTAAGGCCCAATCAGTCGTTCCAAAACACTAAGCAATGACTGGCGAAAGTATATCAAGGTTTGCAGAGCAACAATCATAATTCACGATTTGAACTAAAGATTTGACAATAATTTCTCAGTACTACAAATTATACTCTATCGAAACTACGCCAGTTTATTTTCATGATATTCATATGTTTACTGTTTACTGTGTTGTTTTTGTTTTGTTTATTGTTGTTAGTTGTTACGATTCGCCAATTAAGCCAGGCAGTAGTGTTAGAACATACAGCCTCTTCTGGCGAGTATTTTTTTTTTATTTAATTATAAACTCCCATAATTATAACTTTTAACAATAAACTCAAGCGTCAAAGCGCAATAAAGTAACTCAGGTTATATATCACCATCATAGAACTTGTTTCATCATTCCCACTAATAGTGCACACACTGGGACATTTAGTAATACAAAAAATCGCACCTCTTTTACAAAAAAAATCCCACTTGAAGGCACTATTCAAACGATAATACAAGAGCAACATTCCACTGACGCGTCATATCGCAAAATTTTTAGATTTGACGATAGTTTGATGCCCAAACCCAACAGACAGTTGATGATGATATCTCAAGGTGCCTAAGCGGGTAAAAGTTTGAATTAGGACCTTGTATAAAAGATAAATAAAAAAATATTGGTAAATCCAATTGGGCATACCTTAAGCGCATTAAAAAAATTCCGTATAACATGGTTATACGGAATTAAGTAAGTAGTTTAAATTCATTTCGACAACACTATCGGCTTCAACACCCTCGAAAACCATGAAAATGACACCCAAGATGAAAAAATTGATATCTATTGCAGCCGCCATCTTGGATTTACATTTCGACAGCACTATCGGCTTCAACAACCTCGAAAACCATGAAAATGACACCCAAGATGAAAAAATTGATATCTATTGCAGCCGCCACCTTGGATTTACATTTCGATAGCACTAGCGGCTTCAACACCCGCGAAAACCATGAGAATGACACCCATGATGAAATAATTGATATCTATTGCAGCCGCCATCTTGGATTTACATTTCGACAACCCCATCGGCTTCAACACCCTCGAAAACCATGAAAATGTCACCCATAACAAAAAAATTGATACTACTTACTTTTAGTACGTACTACTGTTATTTATTCTGTGCTTTTAAAATATTGTAATAAAAAGAATCTCTTATTATTATTATAATCAAGTATTTAAGAAATTTGGTTATTCGAATATTGTGTATTTATACAGCGATCTTTTTGAGCCGCTGCAAACAATCGAAACAATGTCCACTCACGACGGCGATCAAATGTACTCTGTGACGGCGATTGACGCCAAACCACAAACTATATCCTCGTAAGGCCCAACGCGAAAATTAACTGCTTCTCATTTCAGCCCACGGTCCCCTTTATGGTACTTTTTTTTTATAGTGGTTCAGGCCCAGCACTAAATTTGTAATTTTTTTACAGTACGATAGTTTTATAGCAATATATGTTTAAGGGTGTATAATTTATGATATTTAGAAGCCCTGCACATATGTTTGGTTTCAATTGAATAAGTCCCACCTAAGGTACCATGGGTCGCAATGTAGTGTGGATTTTTTTTCGTGTACCAGAATTTGCATAAGTGAAATAAGCATTTTTTGGCATATTTTTTATTTATAATGATTTTACTTAATCAAAATAAAACAATAAATGTTATTTTTAAGTGAAACGTAATGTCCTTTAAAAATTATCTTCAACTTTTAAAAGTAAACAAGAATAAGAAATCTTTCATTTTAGTTATTTAAACTTTTTTAGGAAAAAATTGAACACTAGGCAGTCAATCAACTATCAGCCTAAAAACATTAATTCAAAAAATCTTTAAACTCTCTTCATATCAACTTAAACTTCAATCTCTTTATCTCTTAAAAAAACAATAGGACATCTTGGCATTAATAATAGTATAGTATAGAAAGTTCTTAAGCAACATCTAATAAAGGAATATCTAAACAAAAAAATTAGGGCTTAATTAAACAATAATCAAAACAAGGCACATTATAATCAGTCTTTATTAATAGTAAGCCTTTATAAATGAAATGTAATTTATCTTAGAAGTATAAAATTAAAAAAGAAATTAGGAGTGGAAATCTTTGAAACAATTTCTTTCTTTTCGTAAACATAAATAGATGTTACACTTCGTGAATTTTACGGTGGTCTTCATTATATGGCAGTGTCTACATTTGTTTCGAGTATCCATCATTTGCGGCATATGTCGGGCTCCTCTGGTCCTTTTTTCAGGTGGAGGGAGGTCCACAGTTGCAGGTCTTCCTCTCTTTTTTTTTTGGTTTTTCATCTTTATCTGTTTCTGACTCTGTTTCTGTTTGAGTTTCAGATCCTGACGTTTCTGTGTATTTCTCAATCCAATTTTCTCCTAATTCCAGCTTGAAGTCACGAAGATGCTGTATTTTTTTAACAGGAATGCCCTCTGCGAGTTTATCTTTTTTATATAGAATCCAAGCATTAGAAGCAGCCAGGTCAATTAAATGTGAAAACACCCGTTGTGTCCACTTTTTGGTACGATAACGGTATGGACACATCGAGAGCATTCGGTCTGCAAGGTCTACACCACCCATGTTGTGGTTATAGGCTTGAACAACCTTGGGTCTTTCTATTTAAATATATCGTCGCTCTGATTTTTGCCATCTGGCACATGTATCTGTTGGGTCTTTAGCGTACATCGTTGACAACATAGTAACTCCTTTATTATCGTACCATTTTGTTATGGCCATATTTTCTGAAGTGTTCACCACTACTTGACATGAACCGCGACCTTCTCTTTTCATTTCACGGTCTTCTTTTATCGTCTCTCTAGCTGCAATTGGGATCCTATTTTTTCATTATCATTCCGGTACATAGAATATCTCTTTCTTTCAGCTCTCGTGCAAGCCTCGGGGTCATAAAGTAACGGTCGAAGTAAAGTTTGTGACCAGCAGACAAAAAATCGTCAACTAAATTCAACACGGCTTTCTCCCCTAAACCAAGGGTAGTATTATCATATCGAGAATATGTTATTACTTCTTGATATACATCAAAATTGCATACTAATCCATTGGCATTTGGCAAAACAAAAACTTTACGACCAGTAGGATTTGGCTTTCCTGGCACGAATTGTTTTATGCCACATTGTCCTGTAAAGGGAATGATCATCTCATCAATGCACATATTTTGGTCTTTTTGTTGTAATTTGCATGTTTTTAGAATAGTATCTAACAGTGGTCGTATTTTCCAAACTTTATCTTTGTCACGTTGTTCACGTCCAATATCGTCATCGAAAATAAACTTGATCGAATTTCTTAACAGAAAAAAACGGTTCCGGGACATACTGCTTGCTACTATTGGGACTCTGTACTTTTTCTCCCAGTACATACGCAGTCTTGGTAATCCAATAGCACCCATAGCTAACGAGATGCCAATGTATACATACAGCTCTGACTCAGTCAAATTAAGACTCCTTCCAATATTTTTTACAAACGTTTGATTAGATTTCACTACAATTAAAGCAATCAACTCGTCATCTAAATATTGTTGAAAATAGTCTTGTTTGCTGTTAAATTGATTAGAATCAACTTCCATATATGCAGGCCAGAAAAATAGTATAGGAAAATCAGAGGAAGTCCACGTGCGACGTTCGTGTAATTCTACATCCTTAGAAGAACCAGGCGCGTTAGAACCTCCACGACGACCTCTTGAAGAACTACAACGAGTACATTTTCTCGACCCTCTACGACTTTTCGTAGAGGATCCACGAATTACACTTATATTACGGGATGCAGAAAGATCTGACAAAGGGGTATCGTCGTCACTCGAGCTATCAGGTGACGTCGTACTTTCATTAGTCTCCGAAATTTCACGGACTGGTGCATCAAGTTCACATTGATTTTCTAAGTCACTATCTTCTCCAATTTCTGAATCACTGAGAGCAAGAACAATTTCATTCTCATTTAAACCTAAAACCAAAAAAAACTAATGTAAGTGAATTTGTACATACAAAAAAATAAATACATACTGATCATAAAAACATGCAGCTAAAATAGACCATACTACTTGAGGCCCGGAGTGGCACTAGCGGGACTATTTTTTTCGGACAATCAGATTAACTACAAATACTGCTTTAAATATCAAATAAATAACTTGCAAAGAATAGTAATAAATGTTTTCTCAGTTTTAATCCAAAATTCTTATCTGAAATACAGAGGATTACATTAATATAAGTGGATTTAACTAACCTCGACCTCGTGGAGTTGCCATCGTGCCAGTTCAAAGACAATGTGTCAATAGAAAACAAAAAAATCAGCCAATCTCCGATCACTAGTTGACAGCCATAGTTTTCGTTCAGAAATTTTTAGTAGTCACTTGTCAAAGGCGCCAAATTCGAAATCACTATGACGCAAAATTGAATAAGTCCCCTACACGACACCTTGGGTAGCTACGAGTATCTATATTTTTTTGGAGCTGGGCTTGAATGTCTATATTAATTAGTACCTTGGACGACCCCATGGGCCTTACGAGGATATAGAAACACGCCAAACTGAGTGTGAGTAAACTACTCTGTGGCTGTAGCTCCCCATTTACAGAAATAATTTACATAGAAGGCTACCAAATCAACGAAACTTTCGCCATTTTGGAGCCGAAATAAAAATAATTATAGCTAAACAAAACAAAATTACACTGCCATTTACATTCAGTGGCTTCCCACATGATAGATGAAGAGAATAAAAAATAGATTGAGTAAACAATTGATATTTTCAAAGTTATTGTGTTTACAAGCCTCGGGGGCATGATATATCCACACCATAAGCCACTAAAACCCCTTTTTTATTTAAAATAGCAATTAATCGATTTAAAAAATATTAATAAGTTCAACAATCATTTATCTTTCTAACAATGTGCTTTTTATATCGTTTATATGTATAATATGATTGCTAGATACGCAGTAGGTACCGTCTTTACCATAAGGGCACACGGGGCCCGTGCCCCCTATCGTCACGGAGGCCCCCGAAAGGCCGACATATTCGCTTACACTATGCGATCTTTTTTCTATTTTAGAATAATATAACCCGACACAAACATTTTTAGAGTAAATGAGGGCGTTGTTAGTGACTTTCTGGAAAGTGGAAACCTTGAGCAGTGACAAGCTACACATAGTGGCAATAACAGATT